TTTTCCCCCCTTCGCACCCTGAATTCGAGTTAACCGTGAGAAAATCGTTATCGGGAGTGAAAATGTCATTCGAGATATCCGGAAATTCGAGATAAGCGAATTCGAGTTAAACGGAGCATTTAACATGGTGTCCTACGGGGTTCCGCCGGGACCAAGCATTCAAGTTCGAGATAAGCGGAATTTCGACTTATCAGGATTCGAGTTAACGAGTTTTCACTGTATGTTGCTTCCTATAGCAAAAGCCCTATCTTCCACATTGCGAAAGTTTGTCAGCTTCCAACTTCAGTGTTATTTCGACGATATGCTGGCATTTCTCCTTTTCCTTCCACCTACGTTTAAATATGTAGAATTTACCTCAGACTAAGCAACAAGACCTCATTTAAGAGAAGCGGAAAGGTGAAAAATATATACTGCTAGCTTATACAGTACCCGATTTTTCTGTTCTGCTAAAAATAGTCAGGTCATTTTTAGGAGGGAATCGACGGCGACCTGCTCGACTGCGTAATACCGTAAGAGACATTCTGATTTTCGGTTATACCGCCTTTACTGGCAATGATAATCCAGGTCCTTAGTTTCACCTCCATCCCGTAACACAAAAAATTATCATCCTGCAAAATAATTCCCTTTTCTCCTATGTTATTCGGAAATCGACGCTCGATCAGGCTTCGTGAAAAGACTTGACTGACAACCCGAGATGAGATGCTGTTTTTCAGTTTCTTTCTCCTTTTTCTCATATTGCCTAGTTTTCGTGCAGGCACACGGAAGTCAGTATGCCATCCTCTGTGGCAGTTGCATGTTTGTTTCTGGGAGCTGTTGCGTCCGCCAGGCCTGAACATAGATGGGCCAACGAGTTCGACGAACCCTTCCATTTTGCTTGCCCCTTCAACGAGTCCATCATCCGCATAGAGGTAATAGCTCACGAACGAAATGTCTACCATGACAATCTTGTAAATCTAGCTTAATTATAGGCACGTAGACCATGCAATTTAATCTGTCCGGAACAGAGCCTGCACGACAGTAGCTTTGAGGATAGGATCTGGGAATTCACGTGCGGCCCTGTGAAAACGGGATACGACACATGCGGCCAGTCCGGTTTCATCAACGACTACGACGAACCCCTCACTTACATGTGTCCTACTAATGGAATCATCGCCGGGGTCGCTAGCGAACATGAGAATTTCTACGAGGACCGGCGATTCGACTTCAAATGCTGCCACTTGGAAGGAGTTTGCTGGTCAGACTGTTATCTCACTCCATATGTGAATGACTATGACGAACCCATGGACTACTCTGTCGATCCTGGTTATTACATCACCGGTGCCTATAGTATTCACGAAAATTTCTATGAGTGAGTTTTTTCTTCTGAGCTCATAGATATTTTCAAGCATCATTCATTTTGTTTGTTTTTTTTTTCCTTTCTATCGCTCGTTAAGGGACCGAATCTGGAAATTCGACATCTGCAAGCTCGTCAGCTGCTGAAAAGCTATGCTCCAAAGAAAACTTGACCGTCCCTCTTCGTGAAAAGTGTTCATAGATGGATGAAATAAAGATTTGTTGTCAACATAATTGAGTCATGACACTTTTTAAAGCCAAAAGCTTTTACTAGGGGACGTCGAAGTTGAGAGAACTTTTCAGTCCTTCCAGCAATAACGACCATCGGAAAGAAATGAAGGCTCCTCACGGGAGCAGACGAAGCCCAGCTCTCACTCTAGTTTCGCCTTGATCAAATGCCATGTTTTCGGTTTGTACATGTAACACGGAAGCATTTCCCAGAACGATGGGAGTCCCTCCCGCGGATTTTCGAAGAATCCGCCATCAGAAACAAGATCGAGAAATTCGACATGAGGCAGGATATGACGTCACACCTGAAACGAGTCAGCACTCGATCCTAACCCAACGCGGGTCCCTTGGATATTCGGTCCCGTTGAAATGCGGCAACCTAACCCAACTAAGAGACCACCGTTCCACCGAATGGCTTGTCGGTAGGCACACCTTAAATGATGTCTGCTATCATTGAGATACTCTTTTATGCAGGTTCCTTTTCATACTGTCCACCTTTTTTTTACTGTTATGCTGAAGAAGCAGTCAAGTTCCTCTTCTTGACTCTTGATTTCCGAGTTAGTTTGGTGCACTTCCAAATCCCATTCAGGCGATCCTGGAACCATTCCTGGTGATAGACTAAGTTTACTGCATCAGTCTAGCAAAGCAGCTCTCAACCTTTTAACCTGTGGGTCCCTTTCAGAATAGGGGTGAACTGCGCGGACTTCTTTGGCTATCTCGTAAAATGTTAAGCTTCTAAAATCAATGCGAGTAATGTTGAAAACAATATTTTTATAGTGTGCTGAGAGGTACTCACCTTTTTCTTTTTTTGTTCGTTATTTACTTTAGGCCCGGGTTTAGTTTCGCGGTCCCCCTGTAGTCTCGTTACGGACCCCCAGTACGGAAACGTTGGTCTTGCGTGTCTGTGATTTGTCTCCCCCAAATATTCGCATCGATTGAAGAAGTACAAAAATATTTTATATTGTTCCCCATAATAGTGGAGACAAGTAGTCTTCCATGACCTCTTTTTTTCTCCCTATTTCCTCCCATCTGACCGGTCTTGCTCGCAGTCATGGTGTCTGTTTTATTCCGTGTAAGCTGAAAGACCACTGATTGTGATTTTAACTACAGTATTAACTATTAAGCAATAATTTACATGTCAATTGTCCGCGAACATTTCTCTCTGAATAACTGTTGTTGGAGCTCCTCAGCCAAAAATTGATATTCACTTGGCTCCAGGGGGCTGAAATCGCAAATATTAATATATTGTCGCGGTGGCATGCGTAGATAAACGATTAAGATCACGATTAACCTCAGCAAGTTAATCTTGATTCTAACGTGAAACGTGTTTCGACTACACCTCCCACCTTTTTTCAAATTTTCCCATTACCATGTGGAAATGAAACGAATGAAGGGATTCTGATCCCCCTCCCTGGGACAAGCAGGTTAATGGAAACTGCAGACCATCGAAATAGGATGAATTACCCCAAAATATTAATAGAATACCCATCCAGGTACAGAGCTTCCATTGCACTGACTGCTATTCATTCTGGTCACCATTACTTCGCTTTACTACCAGTTGCTTCCAACCAAAGAATCATGCATGAAGTTTCATTGGTTTTAAAGGTACAGTAACAGAGGTTTATCGTATCATCCACGTAATTGGCTAATGTAGGAAATTGAAAAAACGAATACCAAAACGTCATGGACGTTCTATGCATCAATTGGCATGTAACATTAAGTATCGAAATTTGATACTGCTATGGCAAATCTTTGGATATGGGAGGAGAGAAAAAAAAGGTGCAGAGTTGCCAGATGCGTCATATCTTGGTTTCGGCCAGCAACCCTGTCCACGCTGCCACGTGTAGGAGCTGGGTGTAGCAGCTCCCTCTGTGTCTCAACGATGGATCCGTCAGAGGGAGGGGGCTGGAAGGAAACTGTCAATTTTAGTCGGTGGCCAACACCCTGACCGAGGCTGAAGGCTTCGCATATACATTGATTTGAGAACACCAATACTCCGATTGTTTTGGCAACTGGGGACAGACAGAATGAAAAAGTGAAAAAAATCGCGATGTTTGCCACTTTTCAATTGGCCACTATGGAAATGGTAGATAATAACAATTTAAAATAATAATAAAAAACTGAGCCATCTCCTGGGAAATCCCAAGCTGAGCCACAGTTCTGTGAGAACATCACATCTGGAAACTTGCCAGGATGGAGCATGCAGTTTTTTTTATGCTTTAATCTCGAGGTTACGCGTGCTGAAACGTGATGCTCACATCCGTGTGACACTGTCGCCCTAGACTTTGTCATCAGATGTGAAGAACTGTAAAACGTGCTGTAGATTCGAGTGCCGATCCACTATCCACTGCTTGAATTCGCTTTGTTGTACTACATGTGCCTGACGCATTTGGTAGCATTAGTGGAAAGGGAACTGTAAATCAGCGGGTACCAATCACCGAAATCGACACTGAAATTTATTTTGGCCATAGGATGTACTTGAAGTAAGTACTTCCTTTCGAGACGGGACGGATAGCATTTCACAAGGGGGACACAGAGTCCACTGATGTCATTATTCTACAGCCATATCACGCATTCGCCTTCTTTATCCTTTGCTTGCATTCCCATTGGAGAATGACCTCATATAGACTTACCAAGTATTAGATTCTAATGCAACGTCAGTGCCATGCTGCCTTCTATTGCGGTTAGTTGCTCCAATGCGAATAAGAAGCTCCTGTTTATTGACTTTTAATCACAATCATAAGTTACTTTTTTTCACATGCTCGTCCTCACATCGAGTGAATCAGGTCTTCACAGCTTGATTTTCAGGTTCTTAAAAACAAAAACCACACCCATTTGGCAAAAAAAAAAAATTGTCCAGTATTGCAACGGCTACCTTGAGTTGTTTAGGTGGAACGCCTTTTGGAATTTATGATCAACATCTGTTATCCTTCTCTCATACGCATTCATTATAACCTTCCAAGAAGGCATGGGCATGGATCGTTCAAAATTCTCAACATTGGAAGGCAACGAGCGAAAGGGATGAGGCGGGATTCTAGAACTTACGAAGACATCCACTAATTCTCTCCCCCTCTCCCCGAAGCTCAGTTCAAAAGGCGTACTAGAGTTTGAGACATTCGGTGGACATGTCCTAACCATCTGTGATTTCGTTTTTGATTAATGGAGACAGGGATGGAGTTCTTATATCCTCATCTGCAAGAGCTGTGTGGAAGAGAGGGTGCAGTGGGTACAGTATTTTAAGCGGAAGTATGACAGAATGGCATTGGTTTTTTTATTTCACCCACTGGCGAGACTTGAGAGGGTTTGGATGACGAAGAGGATGAATGCAAGTTTCCCCTCTGTCAACTGACTGAGCTAACTTTTCCCTCCCTTCGCGGATGTTACCCACCACCACTGCGGGGCAGGCGTAACACTCAGATATTATTAAGTACTGTACTGTATCCACGAGACGCAGGATTCTCGCCAAGACATGGGTAGAACAATGAAGGGAAGTCGTGATTTGATGCCTAGCCCCACCTGGGGAAAATTCCCCTTAATCTCCATGCGTAAAGAGTGCCAGAGAAAGCAGGCAAAAATATATATACTTCTATACCTCATGAATATACCTGAACATACTAATGAGACATCAGCCTTTCATGAACTTTCTCGCTTTTCTGATATTCTACTCAGTTTCTGAGCAGACGCATAGATTTCGTCATGGCATCGTCAATGGTGATCGCGTGTCTATTTCTGGGAGATGTTGTGTCTGCCAGACCCGGCCATAAATGGGTCAACGATTACGACGAGCCCTTCAACTTTGCTTGCCCCTTCAACGAGTCCATCATCCGCGTAGAGGTGAAGTCTCATCCGCTACCTACCGGCGATGATGATTCTATCAATATATTATCTCTGCTTCCACGCATACGTGCACTCAGACCATGTAATTTATTTTGTCCGGAACAGAGCCTGCACGATAACGAGAGAGAGGACAGGATCTGGGAATTCACGTGCGGCGGAGTGGAAACGGGATACGACACGTGTGGACAGTCCGGTTTTGTCAACGAATACGACGAACTCCTCTCTTACATGTGTCCCGACAATGGCGTCATCGCGGGGATCGCAAGCGAGCATGACAATGACGCCGAGGACCGGCGATTCGACTTCAAATGCTGCCACTTGGAAGGAGTTTGCTGGTCAGACTGTTATCTCACTCCATACGTGAATGACTATGACGAACCCATGGACTACTCTGTCGACCCTGGTTATTACATCACCGGTGCCAACAGCGTCCATGATAATGGCCATGAGTAAGTTTTTTTTTTTTTTTACTAAGACCAGAGATGTATTCTTCCAACATCATTTATTTTACAGCTGTATGGTTTTCTTTCATGATTCCTAAAGAGACCGAATCTGGAAATTCGAAGTTTGCAAGCTCGTCCATTGTTGAAAAGCGGAGACAGTAAGAAAATTCCCCAGTCTCTCCTCAGCGAGGAAAAGACAGAAATGAAATAAATAAATTCTGAAACGAATCTCGCTGTTTTGATTTTCGAGTCATGTTTCTCCATAAAGCGACATTTGAATACAACAGCCTTACTGTACAGGCATTTTGCTATGTAACTTTCTTCTCTTATTTTCGACGTACCCCACCCAAACGGCGATATAGATTTTCCGGATGAGAAAGGACAATTGCTTCCCTTTAGCTCACTGCACGGTGGCGCTCGTTTCTTTCGACGATGAGACCGTGATTGAAGAGCGCACAGACTCCACACAGGGTCCTGGTAAAGTATAGAAGAAATCCGGCGAGGAGGAGGTCGTCAACAGACATTGATCCTGAATTTTCTAAGCCTGGGTTATGCAAAATGCAGGCAAGCTGAGCAGAGAAGAAAATCGAAGGCGTAGAGGTGCACATCGGGGAAAGTCCCTCGACCCGCTCTGACCATCGAGTCTGCTCACTGATAGAAGCTAGAAATCCTAGTTATCTACGTTAGCTAGGAGTGCATGCAGAGCCATCCCTTCTGTCAAATGTTTTGAAGCTATCAAAAGGCAGGAGGAAGATGCAACCATGTGAAAAAACTGGTTCGACAGTAGCAGATTTTGCATATCCGATGGTGGACCTATGTAAACGCAAGCTAATGTTTGTCAACGATGTGATAGACTTATCTACGAAACTCGCCTTCATGCGGAGAACGGCTTTCCGGGAGGAAGAGCTACAAGGTGGGGGAAGGAGAAAGGAATGGATCCAAACACCCTGAAGAGGGGGGAGATTCCACAGAACTCGATCCTCCAGTCCAGTGTTTCTCAACCGTGGGTCCGCGAAACTATGCCCAGGGCAAAAATAAATGAGGGGCAAAGCGAAAATTAAAATTAAAATTTTAAAGGTGTGTACATTTCAACCAAAACTTAAAATATTGTCTTCCGAGTTACTCTCGCTAATTTAAAAAACTCACATATTTACGCGGTAGTGAGGGGGGTCCGCGCAGTTGCCCTCTATTTTGAAAGGGGTCCGCAGGTTATGAAAGATTGAAAACTCCTGAACCACTGCTCTAATGATAGATATGGAAATAACAGGGAAGAGTGGAGGAGGTGGACAAAAAGGTACTCTTTGCTCCCACACCCGGAAAAATGGGGGAAAGGAGCATTTGTTACCCTTTTTCCTACCCCCCCTCCCCTTCGCGCTTCCTTCTCTCTTAGCTGTGAATTCTGCAACCCCTTTTGAATGGAATTGAGGGACTCTTTCAATACCTCTTGAGCTAGAGTAAGATCGGTGTGCATATTATATGTTGTCTCGCATTACTTGCATTTACTGAAAATTTTACTTTTCAATGCTTGCAGGCAAATTCGATTGATTTTTTGGTGGCGTGGGAATTTTTTTTTTCGCAGACTGATAGGAATTTTCAGCAAATCGCCTTTGACAACACTGCCAAAGATTTTTGCAGCACTGCTTTCTCCATGTGGTACATACTGCATGCATGTGGCTGCTAGGTCTTCGACAGCGGCCTTTATAGTGTCCAGACTTCCTATTATATGCGCTATGGATTGGAGGATTTAGAGCATATCCTAACGAGGAACTGGTGCGATAGCTTGGGGTCTCTTTGGATCATTTCTACAATTCTTTTTAGGGTATTTCCTCCAATTCAGTGAAAACTTTGCTTGTGAGTTCGAATGCTTTTCATGTAACTTTAACAAGAATGAAGGATATTGCTAACCTACAGAGCCTTAAGAGACGACATTGCTTTGTGCTGCAGGCCCGTGAGAGAAACGACGTGGGATGGACCTAGGCCTACGCCTGTCCTAAGAAGTCTAAGTGGGAATACATCAAATACTGGACTACACACATTTGATCATATTTATCATTGGCCTCTCAAAACCATAACCTGCATTAGACCTAGGGCTCACACACAGGATCCTATTGGAGATGGCGAACATTTCAACGCATCTTTCAGCCATCCCTCGCACTCTATTGAGGTTAGTTTGCCTTGTTTGTAATAGGGTTGATTCAGATTGATTTTAAAAGTTTTCAGACTGTATTAATATATATATTTTTCAATTGAAATTGCATGAAATTGCATTTTCATTCAGTTATCTGTCCTGCAAGCCATAAAGCCCTGGTATATATATATATATATATACTGTATATATATATATATTTTTCATTTTCTATTTGCCTCCATCAAAACCCAGTCTTTTTTTTTTACCAGTCAGCAAAATTTACCCATGTTGAGAAGTATAGTTTTTTATAAGTGCACCTAAAATGTTTCCATGAGCAGAGTTTTTGCAGCTATCTGCATACTGAAGTGACCCATGACTTCCTGACGTGCTTCATTTTTGCTGATGCGTTTGGTTTTTTCATGAAGGAATGCTGTTCCCTTGATATACATAATTAGTTCCACTTAAATATGAAAGAAACACATTAAGATTTTTTTTAAATTGAAAAGTCACAAGGAGGAAGATTATACCAAAGAGTGAATATCATTGTGATTTGCCTTTATGAAGGATGAATCATTTACATGCATGTCTTACTTTGCCAAAATCCTTATGGATTTGAGCCAAAAGAACTGATATTCAGTGGCCAATGCCCTTGTTCTGTGTGAGACAGTCCTAAGAGGAGGATGGTGGGCAGAAGGCTATTTTGGTATATTATTATTGCTCTATCATGAAATGTGCACTTTCAAGTAACCAGGGAGCTGTAGTGCAAGAAGAAAATCCTCATTGAACATACAGTGGGTTAGAGTACTAAGAGCATCAGCTCTGTATTTTGTATTTTGCATACTGTACACAGTGATCCTACTCATGTTTACAGCTTTAGCTCACTACTTAGTACATAGCACATGGACTGGAATTCTCCAGGTTGTGGGTTCCTTATGTCCTGTCTCAGCTGCACTTTTTTTCTTATGGAATAGATAGACTAGCAAAATGCCAAGATTGAGAATTATATAAAACATTCCTGAAAGGTCTAGAAGGAAGGAAAATATTGCCTGTCATTAACACGTTGACGACCAGCCTATTTTTGCTTGTCCGCCGCGTGGGACCACGTGCATTTTTTTTGTCAAAAAATGCGTCCTGCCATCAGGACGCATGGTCCCAGAAAACATTTGTTTTGCCGAGTTTTTTTTAAAATGTTGAATTTTTTGGAATTTTTATCAGTAATTACGAAATCATAATCTTCTGGAACGTTCTCAACAGTTCCAGAGGGTATTCATAGAAAAAAAATCTGCATCCTGGCATCAGGACGCATTGTCGCCAACGTGTTAAAAATGAATTGACACTAGTAAAGAAGATGGGCCTCATGGATGGTACAGCTAGTGGAAACCATGGCTTGATTTGCAACCTGCTCACACGTGCTAATGAGTTAATGCTTTTGAAGGGCAAAATTAATTGTAAGTCATTCAATGTTTAGAGGTGCATAAAGCCTATTTGAAAAATATGAGTCAATCCTAATATATTGTACAATTAAAGTTTGACCTTGATAATATCTATAGCATAGGCCAACTCAACAATGGCACTATGGCCCATCTGGGGTAAGATGAAATTTTGAATGCATGATGAGCATGGGAGGGACATTGTGTTCTCTCTACATATGCTTTCCTTTGAATCACCTCCCTTATGAGGCTCCATGACATTACTGGGAGTTAGGAAGTCATTGCTTTTAGTGGGATGTTTTTGAGATTCACAGTGACCAAAATTATTTAGATGTTATAATTTTAGTCTATTTCAGCCCTAATTCATGTTGGGCATATTTCACCCATCAAATGTAGTCATAGTTCATGATAGTATGAACTTGAACATGTTTCATTATTCATGTTAATATTAGGTGAGACGGGTGTACCTGAACTCAGGGCTGAAGTTAAAGTCAGGCTGGCATTCTCAATAGATGCAGCCAATAATTTATGCTTAGGCCAATATGTACATGATAGACATTGGAGTGGAATACAGGCCTTATTGTGTGACTAACATATCATAGGCTTAACTTGAAGTGTTTTTGTTCAGCCTTGTGTAGCACATGTATATTTCTATTCCTTAGGCCAAGGAGCAGACCATGTACACACTTCTCTAGGATTTTGTCTTGGATGCGATGGAAGTCCACCAGTGCTTCAGTTCACCCATCTATTGCTCTGGATGATGCAATAACCAAGGAAATCCCACCTCTCACTCATCCCCTTCCTGGACTCCCCAAACCCATCTTTGCAAGTGTATCAACGCAAGATCAGGAGACTCATGTTACCACTCTAAGTAATGGTCTTAGAGTTGCATCACAGCAGAAATTTGGACAGTTCTGCACTGTTGGAGGTGAATTGAATCTAGGGATGGGGTGATCAATTGACCACCTTTTAATTGACCCTTATTGACTGCTCTTTTTTTTTTATTCAGTGAATTAAGAAGTTTTTATAGAGCTCATAGATGTGATCATTTATCCTCCAGCACTAAAGCCAAAGAACCAGTTCCATTTTAAAGATATATTCATGCAGCCTGCCAAACATCTGGACTGTGGCACCTGTTGGGTATGAAAATATTATAGCAAATACTCAAATTACCATGACCTGAGTGGTGTAGAGTGTGTACAGGCATAGCCTGCTGTTCAAGATCTTCCAGTCATAATGGCTTTGAAAGTTAAGGTTCAAGATCTAATTTGCAACTTTAGAACTTCAGTTTAAGGTAAGGTCTATCATGGTCTTGGCCAATAGTCTGCATCAGAGTATCAAATCATGCTCAGAGTCTGTGATCAAGGGACAAGTTCTTGGATTATGCCTTGGCCAAAGCCTAAAGAAATTGCTCTAGTTATGAAGAATTTCCTTGAGCAAGGCAGAGGCTATTTTTTCTGACAGGAACAGGAATTAATTTTAATACCAGAAACCATGAAACTCCAGTTATCTAAATTATGTGTTGCATTCCTCATTATTCAGAGTACTTATGGAGCTACCTAGTCACAGAATTTACATCTGAAACATGTTCGATTACTGTTCAACCCATTGAGCTATTAGTTTTCTTCTGACTGGCCATACCCCCATGGGTGAGTTTTTTTTGCAGATGGGCTCCAGCTCAGAATTCTTTTACTCTTATGAACATAAGCAGATTTTACCCCAGAAGTATGTTGAAATAACTGTAATTCAACATTGGTACTCTTGGGTATTCAGTAGTGCTTCAAGATTTGGTATTATTATTATTATAAAACAATAATGAAATGTTAGAAATATAATGTGATAATTAATTTTTCTTTTTGAATTTTTTTTACTTCTTAGACATGAGAAATAGATATGAACACAAAAAGTAAATGGAAGTAGCTTTTCATCAACGAGATTCTTTCCTCCAATGTGTGAAGCAGCATCTTATTGCATCTTCAAATGAAAGTAAATTACCTTTAAAATTATTAAATGACATTCCTTAAATTTAAGCTTTATTCTATACATTGAATTTCATATGTATCATGATTTTCACTTCTCTACAGTTGGAAATTGCTGTAACCATCAGAATGTCTATGCAGAAGAATCTGCCCTCCCCTGCCCCCTGCTAAGAAATAACATGAAATCAAAGAAAAGTTCCAAGATAGAATTGCTAAAAGAGGTGAAATATGGAAGAAGTAATTGATTTAATTCCCTATTCCTTCTCATTTCCTGTGAAGGAGTTAGTCATATAATGTCTTTTGGTACAAACTGCTTCTTGTCTACCAACACCTTACATGTGAGATGTTCTGTCATCAGTTTATTGCCAGTTCCAGGGCTTTCCAGATTTGTCATTAAAAATCAAGAGCATGCCTCTGTCCACTTAATTTTCAAAGTGGAATGGGCATCTGTTGTGAGAAAGTAGCCCAGAAAACCCTCTCTCACAAACCGCCCCAAAGTTAACATTTAATTTTTTCTCTGTTGCTTTCTGTACTAGCTTGAAGATGCCAGCACTGAATAAGGCAAGACATATTCAGGAACCTCCAAATTTAAGCTCAAACTGACAGCATCTGTACAGATGTGGCAATTTGAGTTCAAAGATGCAGGATGTACTGGTACGGCCACACTCCTGGGGGACCAGGAGCACATAGCTGTACCAGTAGTCACATCGCTCAATGGGTTAATATTCCAACTCATGCAATCTATAGGTAAAGTCTATCTTAGCCATGAGATGTTGACTGGTCAACATGGTCATTTAAGAACTCATGCAGTCATGAAGCCTAACCTATGGTTGACCATTATTGTTCATAAATGGTCAGAAGTGACCATGTTGACCAGTCAACTTCCCATGCCTAGTCTATCACTTGTGAGTCATGACATACAAATGGTGCACAAACTGTGCAGGAAATAAACAAAAATAAAAATTGGTCCAATTGACCATAGTTGAGGATATTGACCAGTCAATAACTTATCCCTAGTTGAAACTAATTCATTAACTGGTAGGTACTGGCTATGTGTACAGATCTGTATCATTGATGCATTGGACTATTTGTTGGTTTGTGATACCTACACATGTGTGGAGGGAGGAACCATATTCATGGAGTTCCTCATTCAAATCCCATCCCCCCCCCCTCATTAAGCATTGTGGCATTGAGGTTGGGGGAAAACACACTGAACTCTGGAAACAGGCAACCCATGGAGTATGCTTTCCATACTTTTCTTAGCTTTACTATCCTTTTTTCTCTTGAGTCCATGACCAAAACATAAGGGAGGCATCTATTTTGGCTCATCATGGGTCATTTAGGCATGAAATCTTACATGAAATTATTTTAAAAATTTAACTAGGGCTGTCATGGAGCATTGATGTCACCATTGACAGTTTGTTGTACAGGATGCCTTTGTCAGGCGCTACTGTGCATAATAAAATTTAAAAAGAATTGCAGCATGAAACTTCATGGGTGCATAAGTGATTATGACTCTCTGGAAGAAAAAAAACAAGAGATAAAAAATTTTTATCAGTAATTACGAAATCATAATCTTCTGGAACGTTCTCAACAGTTCCAGCTTCATTCATTGAAAAAAAAATCTGCATCCTGGCATCAGGACGCATTGTCGCCAACGTGTTAGTTGGACAAAAAAAGTTTCCAAGTTTCCATGATTGAAGATATCAATAGGAAATATTCAGGATATCTCATTAAACATATTTAGGTGGTGTGATGAGTTTGAATGAAACCTGATTAGAACCTGGGTAATAGCTTTCTTTCCATGAGTGTTTCTGTTTGGGCTTGCCCGTGTCAATCTTAGCTAGATTAGGTTATATGGTGAGTCCAGTAGTACATGGAAGAAGCAGTCAGGTTTTTCATGCAATTAGGCTTTCCTTGCTTGTCTTAGCTGCATGCCACTCATGGCCATCACCAACTTTTGAGGGTCTAGGTGACAGTGGCTTAGGTGTCTGATAGGTTTTTATTTATTTATTTAAATGAAATCTTATTGCCTTTTTGTTACTTAGCTGGAATCTAACAACTATTTTGTATGTTCATGAAAATTGAGGATTTTTTCTTGTCTTACATGCATTTATTTTACATCCCCAAGTCTCATGATCTTTTCTTTGTACCTATCTTTAGATCTGACAAAAATTGGGCAGGAGTGGCATGTGAGCTCACATCATTGCCATAATTCATTTTAAAGACTTACCTGTCTCTTTTATTCTTCATAGTGGTGCTTGACTCAGGGTCAAGATATGAAGTTGCCTTCCCTACTGGAGTGACTCATGTCCTGGAAAGACTTGCTTTTCATGTGAGACTTTTTTTTTTCTTTTTATAATACTGTGAAACCTTTTAAAAAAATTGGAATACATTTTCAGGGATTGCTTGGAGTATTCCTTTGAACTACAACCAGTAATGCTAATACTTACATAATGTACAAAAATTGCTTAGTGTTGAATCATATGCTCAAGAATTTATTTAATTTTTATCATTATCAAATTGTGAAAATTTATTAATATTTAAGTTTTTTAGTTGTTCACTCAACTTGTGGATCACTGGAAAAAATATTTCATTAAATGTTAATGTTCTAATGGTGTAGATTTGTATTGTATTGTATTATTTCCCTCTCCAGTCCACAGCAAGGTTCTCCAACAGAGATAGCATATTGAGAGAACTTGAAAAATATGGTGGCATCTGTGATTGTCAGTCTTCCAGGTAAGCCTAATCCTTTTTTCTCGCTTTTACCCTATGTACACATTCATCATCAGAAGTAAGGATTTTCAAATATATGAATGTAAAATAATGATGTTGTAGGGATTCATTCATCTATGCAGCATCTGCTGAAGTTGAAGGCTTGGACCCTGTGCTCCGCCTCCTGGCTGATGTTGTTCTACGACCCAACATCACACCTCAAGAGGTTTGTGTTTGCATGGATGACTCTTCATTTTTTTTAAGTGACTAATTTCACTTGAAGCAAAATTAAAACTTGACCCTTTAGGACAATTTGTGCTTACTCATGTGGCATGGAAGTCGTATTGTGGTTGATGTTAGGTTCTTCACAAGTGAATCTTTATTTGTTTTAGTAGAAAGGGAAACAGTCTTATTAAGGCAGTTTAGGCTCAAGATAACTTTCAGCTGCTTTTCAGTCTCATCAGATTTTCATTCTGTATTTGGACTTGAAAGTGGATGCCACTTGTGCAGCTTGGCCTTGACTGTCAAATAGAATGACTAAAAATCTCTTGAGTTTTTAAACTATTGTGTCAGAACCTCCAAATTCATGTTGACTTGGAAGGTTTGCAACATCACTGGCATTAGATACAAAGGATGTTGGACTTTGGACAATCTAAAATCAGGCAATAGTTCCTGGACAACTTTACAAAAAATTTTGTGACCTATGGCTTCTGAATTTTGAAGGAAATTGTTGGACACGAAACTCAGTTTTTTTTCTGCAGTGCTTTGATTCATATTTAGTGGTGGCACAACCAGACTTGAGTTTTGAGTGTGTTTGCCAGCATTACACAATCATTATAGAGGTTATAGATGTTGTGTCTTCTGTTTGTGTGCACCTTTTAGGAAAATGGACTTTTTTTTTAGACCTTTAGGGGGAGGGTTTAAACCTCCATATCCTCTCCTTTGATTACACCTCTGCAACCCCCATTAGGATGTATGCACTTGCTTGCCTGGGCAGTTTGATAAAGACAGTTGATTTAAGGTGGAATCTTTCCTGGTGTGCATATATAATATAATATAAAATTACTATTATATTATATTATATATAATATAATAGTAATTTTTACATGTATGGATATTGTGTCAGATGATTGAATAAATAACAAATTCACGTCAGCATTTTAAAATTATTGTTTGATAACAGGAAAAACAAGTAGATTCTCCTGTTATAACATGGATGATTACCCATTCAGATTATTTATTGAGCTTATAAAACCAATCACAATTGGGTGGTCTCTGACCTAAATAAACTCTGAGAAAAAAAGCTCAGGATATTTGTTTTGCTCTATAATAGGAAGGAGGTTCTTTTGAATATCTGTATCCTGAAAAGTAAGTAATTAACAGGGACCCAGTGTTGGCAGCACTAATAAAGACGCACATGTTCATTCTCAAATAATATTTGGTCTTAACTTTGATAGAGATTTTATTATATCCCTAACTTTTTTCTTAGAGTTTAGATGATCAAATATCCTTACTCTCTTTCTAATCTGTCATGTTGCTTAAGATTTAAAGATAGTACAATGACAGAGAAGTAAAAATTTTCATGGTGTGCACTTGCAGTTGGAAGAAGCGAAAATGACAATCCAGTTTGAGTGGGAAGACTATAACACTCGGCCTGATCAGGAAATGCTCCTCTTGGATATGATTCATGCTGTGAGTTTTTTTAATTTAAGTTTTATGCACTGCAAGATTGAACTACTACTTTGGGTTCCTCAAAGATGAATTCTACTCTACATCTTTTAGGCTGCATATCGAGATAATACCATCGGACTACCAAAACTCTGCCCTGTTGAGAACTTTGAAAAGATTGAACGACCACTATTGCTATCTTTCTTGAAAGCTCATCATTCTCCTAGTCGGATGGTTGTTGCTGGAGTGGGTGTTGAACATGCACACCTAGTTGAAGCTGTTCAAAAGTAAGAGGTTTCAGGATTTGTGTTCAAGCTAACTTAATCTGCAGTGATTTGTCTCCTTTATTATTGATTCTCTCCCTCTTTTGCATAGATATTTTGTTGATGAAAAATCTATATGGGATGTGGAGAATGTGGATCCCCAAGGAAATATTGTAGTTGATTCATCCATTGCCCAATATACTGGGGGTATTGTCCAGGTAAGATGGTATTGGTTATGTCCAAACTCATCAACTTCTTATGGAGACCCTGTGCACACTGATAAATGTATTCATGCTACATCCCATCACTCATTTGAAAATGACAGATTTAAATGCTCCTCTTACCCTTTTGTGATGGAGATAGAGACAGAAGGATCTCTCCAATATTGCTCCTGGACCTAGCCCATTCCCAGAGCTTGGTCATCTTGTTGTGGGCATGGAAAGTTGCAGTCATCAGGATAAGGACTTTGTTCCATTCTGTGTGCTGAACATGATGATGGGTGGTGGTGGATCATTCTCAGCTGGTGGACCAGGAAAAGGCATGTACACCCGCCTTTACACAAATGTCCTAAATAGGTCAGTTTCCTTCATGTATATCATCATGTTGTATTCTTACAAGTCAAGTCATCTTTTCTGTTATTTCAGACATCATTGGATGTATAGTGCCACAGCATACAATCACACGTACACGGATTCAGGGTTATTTTGCATCCACGCATCTGCTCATCCAACACAGATGCGTGAGGTTTCAGAGATTTTGGTAAATGAATTCATCAATATGTTGGGGAACGTTGAGAAACAAGAATTGGAGGTGAGTGCATTATTGGGACTGTTCGTACCAGACATGCTTAAAATACTAGAAGACCGACAATTTAACATCACACCTTGCTTCATGGAATGCAGAGGGCCAAGAAGCAGTTGCAGTCCATGCTCCTGATGAATCTTGAAATGAGACCTGTTGTGTTTGAAGACATTGGGAAACAGGTTCTTGTCACAGGACATCGGAAACCTCCAGAATATTACATTTCTGAGATCAGTAAGTTTCATCCATTGCATTTGTTGAGTTATGTTGTATTGATGCTTGATTGAAATGTATGTTACTTGTCCATGCCCTTCCAAGGAGCAAAAACTGTTAAACTGATGTATTCTCTTTCTTTTTCTCCAAAGGTAATGTGAAAGAATCTGACATTCAAAGGGTGGCCTCCCGCATGCTAAGGACTAAGCCAGCAGTTGCTGCTCTTGGTGACCTTTGTCACTTCCCAAGCTTTGGTGATGTGGAAGCTGGGCTGTTGAATCGTGAAAGCTCTGCATCAAAGCCAAAACGGTTTTCCTTATTTAGATAACCTAATAAAGGAAAACACAACTTAGTGAAAGAGAAATATGCATGTGAAAGAATGTGCAAGTGAACTGTGTGATCTGTGTCCTTTTTGGTATGAGTGTATGTATGAATTGCACTGCTATTGACTGTAAGACAAGGCATAAAATTGCCATTGTTTGGCCCATCTCATGGCAAAGGAGGGATTTAATTTTTTTGTGTTGCTCCTGTGTGCTCAGTTACTCATGGGGGAAGCTCTGCTTCTCCTGTCTTAGATGTGTTACCTATGGTTCAAGGACCTGCAAGAGTCAGGATTGTTAGGATGCAGGCAAGAGAACAAAACTGTTTCACTTTGCAGAAGAAGTGCCAGTGAGAGTTCAGGACACTCATCATTGCAATTTCAGTATGAGACTGAATTGTTCCTTCCTAGACCCAAGTTTTCCAATCATCTCAACCCTAATTTGGTATTTCAACAGTGCTTAGTCACCAAAATGTGCCTGAAAGTTTCAGGGACAGTTTTTGGCATATTGAATGTGTTTAATTTTGTAATCAGGAAACCTAGTTTGCACAAGTAATGGAATTGGTTCTCAGAGGAGGTTTAACCAGCTGCACATGTCTAACTATTTGGAAATCTTGTCACCCTCCTCTATAATACCTTTTGGTAATAAAGCATTGCTAAGTGGTATACTGATACACGTGATTGTAGCTTTCTATGCAGGTTCTAAAATATTTGTTCGCAATTTTGTCAACTTGACCTTGCTGAAAAAGAAGGCACAAAAAAGAATGCCAAAAGGAGGACCAAGTTGTGTAGCATTTAATCCATCCCAATATGGTACCTGTTAATTGTATGCTTTTAGGAGACCCATCATATGGTCTAGAGATACCATCAGTAATAAAGTGGCACATGCAATTGTTGCTGCTGCTATGAGTAAGAACTTGAGGTATTTACCTCAACACTATGATACTCCTCCTTCAAAAGACAAGACTTCAAAAAGGCTGTGAGAGCCTTTTTGAAGTCTTGTCTTTTGAAGGAGGAGTATCATAGTGTGTAACTTGAGGTTGGTCCATGTATATGTTTCAAGTTGTAGACTCCTTCTCTTGATATTTCTGCTACTCAAGAGTGGTTAGGAAGACTGAAATCTCCCTTGTGGGTCAAATGAGGTTGCTCAGTGCTTCCTGTCTTTGCTTTTTTAAGCTTACTAGTTTGTTGGCAGGGTTTTCAACTTCCAAGTCAATATCTTATACTTTTTTAAATTGTATTTCATATACAGGGAAGCAGTTTCCTTAGAGTTCAAAAATCCTTAATGAATGAGTCTTGATGACCCTTTTGACCATAGAATCTGCTTGTGATAGCTTTTTTCTGCAGAAGACAATGTTATCGCCTGACTCCTACTGTGGCCTAGAAGGAAATTAAGGAGTGAAATTGATTGCTGTTTTGGATTGAATGTGCTTATGTCCTGGCAATCCAAGAAATACAAGCCTTATAATAAAGCTAAATGTAAAAATGGACATCCATAATAAAGTACCAATGTATCCCTTGTGCTGATCCATTACATGTACAGTGTAAGGTTATCCTCTTTGGACTTTGCATTTGTTTACTAACAAATGCTGGGGCCATTCTCCGAAGCAACCCCATGGAAGCAATTCCAAATTGAGTGTATTATCATGAATTTACATTGATGCACATGGCAAGTTTTAGGGAAGAGTGTACTTCAGTGTTTTTCATTTGATTCAGCCACTTGTACATGAGGCCCTTCCCTTGCATGAGTGTCTGAGTCAAGTAAAAAACACTGTGCTTTAGAAATTTGCTTTAAAAAATTGGATATTTGGTATTCTGCTTTTTGCCTGCCTATGTGACGTGTCTGTATCTCTTGATTATAAATGGCTCTTTCAGTCTTTCATTATTTGTATTGCTTTCCTTGTTGTCCATGTGATATCCCTTAGGCAATTGTGCCCTCTTCAAGCTTCAAAAGGGGGCTGTTAGATCAGTAGCAAAATGACTTGAGTTTCTGCATCATTCTTGTCTATGCTAGTATTTCTGTCCTTGGTGTGAGAAGATCACAAAAATCATGGGGAATTACAAATCTAGACCTCCAACATCTTGTGCTGAAGAATTGAAGAAGAAAATCAGTGAAAGTTATGCAGTTCTACGCTCTCGTATGATGGATGATCTGAGACCTAAGGATGGAGAGCTACTTGATTTCCAGGAAGCCTGCTGGTATCTAAAAAGCTCCTGTTTTATATGATCATCTGTAGAGAGCAATTAGTGCTGACTTGATGTGGTCTGTGCATTCCAGCCGTGGAGATCTAAAAACTACAGGAGAAGCTCTCACTGAAGAGATAGTGAATGAGAGGACAGAACCTGGTTTAACCTTGCTGCACTTGGCATGTCATTGCCCTGGGAACAAGAAGCAGCAATTACAGCTGCTTTTGCAAAAGGGAGCTAAATTGAATGCCATGTCAAAAAACGGCTTTTCATCTCTTCATCTTCTGGCATACAAGGTGTCCTTGGCTTTCATACTTGACTTTTTATCAAAATTTGATATTCAGATCTGTCAGTTCTATCAAGATCTTTCTTAATTGTCCATAATGAAAAATCAATTGAAAGAATGAGAATATCATATGTTTGAGCTTTCACATATACTGTAAATAAAAAATTGTTACTGTTCAGTTGCCACTTCCCCTCCAGAGATGAATGTGTTTGCTTCAGTTCTTCATACCCTTCAGAAAATCTGAAGACAGAGTAGTTTTCAGAAAGCCTTGAACCTGCTTTATATGAAATTGCAGGGTGATTTGGAGATGATAGAAGTCTTGATATCAGCTGGGGCAGATGTGGATTTGGCAGGACATGGAGGAGTGACTGCATTGCATATTGCTTGCATGAGTGGGCACTTGGAAGTGGCCAAACTCCTCCTGCAGAATGGTGCTAATATTGAAGCAAAAGATGATGTGAAGTTCTCCCCTCTCCACCTTGCCTGCTACTTTGGACATGAAAAGGTGAGTGGTCCTGTAATAGTTGCACATCTGTGGTACCATTTGCAATCACAGATTCCAGTAGTAAGTTTTACTTTAGGTGGTGACTGAACTGTTGGCAAGGGAGGCAGATGTGAATATATCTGGAGCAGTTGGAGATCGACCCCTTCACCTTGCAGCTGGCAAGGGCTTTCTTCGTATCACGCAGCTTCTTGTGGAAGCAAGGGCTGATGGTATCGTTTTTTTTTGCCAGAAATAGGAAAAATCAAAGGTGCTGAATTAGGAATGCAAAGATGAACTAGCCTTGCTTGATTTCTCATCAGTTAATGTCCGTGATGAAGAGTGGCATGGACCAGTTCACCTTTGCTGTCGAGGTGGTCATGTTGCAGTTCTGAATTACTTGCTTCAGCCTCAATTTGAAGTGGACCTCCTCTATGCTAACATATATGGTGATACTCCACTTCATTTGTGAGTATAAGAATTTACATCCTATGTTTTTAGCTTCTTTTTTTTGTTGAAAGATTAAGAAACTGTTTATTTCTGTGATGACAGAGCATGTTATAGTGGAAAAGTAGAAGTAGCAAGGACACTGCTGCCCATGCTACCAGAAGAATCTTTTTATCAGGAAAATGTCTTCAGTGAGACTCCTCTCCATGCAGCATGCACTGCTGGCAAATCTTTGGAACTGATCAGAATTCTCCTTGACAAGACTTCAGCATGTGTGAACTATCAAGGTAGAGACGGACACACAGGTAATACAACTCTTCAATTTTGTACCAATCAGGTACTGGCATTTTCAAGTTTGTAGGTACATGATAATGATACTTTGTTTCCCATCATTGTAACCCAGCTCTGCATTCAGCCTGCTACCATGGCCATTTGAAAGTAGTTCAGCTTCTACTGGAAAGAGGTGCTGACATGAATCTAATTGCTTCACCAGATATGAATCTCTCTAACAATGCAGATAAGAAGGTATGAGTTTCAATTTTATGTGCTTTGTTTTTGAGGTGTATTGTCAGACATTGGACTTTTTTAGTGGGAACTGCACATGAATGTTCATCTATGACAGGAAGAGCAACAAACTTGCCTTATGTGGGCCTATGAGAGGGGACACGATGCTCTAGTGACTCTTCTGAAGCACCACAAACGCCCTCAGGATGAGAGTGCTCGAGGAGATTACACAAATCAAGATGGTTCTTATGTCAGTGTCCCATCACCTTTGGGCAAGATCCGGTCCATCACCAAAGGTTAGAAAGCTCTAAATCAAATTCAAACTGTTGGCTTAAGTTATAGGATACTACATTAGTGATTATGAAATGTATCATGACCTGCTTGTTTTGTGCAGAAAAAATAGATGTCCTGCGACTCAGATCCAGCCTTCCATCTCATTATCAGCTACAACTAAATGAAATTGAATGCCTTGAGAATATTGGTTCTGGAAGTTTTGGGAAGGTCTTCAAGGTATTGGTTCTCTTTCTTGGTGTTGGCTTAAGTTGTTTATTGCACAGAATCAGTTATCTCCCCCCTTTTTTACCTCTTCAGGGTCGACATAGAGGAAAGATTGTCGCTGTCAAGAGATACAAGGCCAATTCTTTCTTTGCAAAATCTGATGTAGATATGTTTTGTCGAGAAGTGTCCATCCTGAGCACCCTAAATTCCCCTTATGTGATCAAGTTTGTTGGTGCTTGTCTGGATGACCCAAGTGTAAGTACCCTCTGCCTATTCTTACCAATGTATGCAAGTGGATTGTATGGAGACCTCTCATGTCTTTGAAAATCCCTGTTGTCATTCAAAGCTTCTGAAGTGAACCTAAGGTTTGTTCAGTTTCCTATGGGCAATACTTTTGCATGTATTTCTTCTTAACTGCTTGTCAGTCAGGATTGTCTGACATGTATTTTTTCCCTGTAGCAATTTGCTATCGTGACTGAGTATGTCAGTGGAGGATCCTTGTTCATCCTTCTGCATGAGCAAAAGAGGCCACTGGACCTTATCACAAAGGTTGATATTGCCTTGGATGTAGCTAAAGGGATGGACTATCTCCATCATCTTTCTCAGCCAATTATCCACCGAGACCTGAACTCTCACAACATCTTACTAAATGAACAAGTCTGGGTTTCTCCTCTTTTGTCAACTTCATCTTGTCATATGCTTTGAGAAACATTGTACACGAAAGGCTTTGATGTGGAATAATGGCAGGGACATGCCATGGTGGCAGATTTTGGAGAGTCTCGATTCCTGAGAAGCCTATATGAAGACAATATGACAAAGCAACCTGGGAACCTACGATGGATGGCCCCTGAAGTCTTCACACAGTGCACCAGGTTAAATAGGCTCTTCAAACTCATCCTGATTAACCAAACTTTATTCTTGCTTTCTTGTTGTATTAACATAATGGTTACTGCTGTCAACAGGTACAGTGTGAAAGCAGACATGTTCAGTTATGCCCTATGTTTTTGGGAGCTCCTTTCTGGAGAGCTACCCTTTGCTCACCTAAAACCTGCTGCAGCTGCTGCTGACATGGCGTATCGCAACACCCGACCTCCATTGGCAACAACCTTCCCAAAAGGCAACTGATTATTTCTTTGTAAAAAACTATAGATGCTGTTTTGTAGTAAATTTTTTAATTTGAGGGAAAAACATGGCATTTAACTTGAACTTTCTTGGCCTTTCTTGAACTTTTTTCCATATACTTGCAATAATGAGGTGGTGGCAGAGAAAGCATGAAAGCAGGCAGTTTGCTTGATAAAGCAAATAAATAATAGCCAAGTGCTGCTGTTCACTTTCTCAAAATAGGGCTAATTTTTGTGAAGTTGGATTGAGCTCTTTATTGCATGGATTTCTTCATTTCATTGATTTTCTTGCTGGAGCGCTTCCAGTCGTTCACCTTATTTCATTTCTGCCTACAACAGAGATTACAGATCTACTTCAAGAAGCTTGGCACCAAAACCCAGAAGAGAGGCCAGATTTTGCTACAGTGATCCTGAAACTGGAGGCAGCAAGGTCATCTCCCTCTGTGCTGGCTCTCACCAACAGCAATTCCATGTCTTTAATGGTAGTGGAGGCATCGGGATTGAGCTCGAGTCCAACAAGTGAGACTCCGGGCAGTTCCCAGGGAAGGGATACTCCGCCTTTGACAGGTCATGTCACGGCCCTGAGGACTCGATGGGAGATGGAGGCTTCCAAAGGGACCACTACTGCCATGTAAGTGTCTCTCATCTCCCTCTTGGATCATTCACTACCTCTCCATTTTGCTTGATATTCCTCAATCCTCTCAGGTCGAGTCCTCGACCATCCTTGGAAGAGCTGAGGCGGCATGTGGATCGCAACGGATATGTCTCAGACGCCATTAGTGCGTATCAATTCCGGTTTGGAAGTCCTCCATCCAAGGCGAAGTAAAAAAACGCTTTTTTTAACTATGCAATTTACCTTGTGTTTTAAATCTCCTGCTATTTGCTGTTAAATGAAATAAAATGTTTCACTCCTCTAACAATAAGTGTTGCGTTTTATCATTACACCTTAGTTTCTAATATTCGAAAAATAGTTTGCACATGTGTCCGATTACTTTTTGCGATATCACTGTTGAAGTGCAGACGTGCCACAGGTGCCATAGTCTGCCACGCGCCAAAAATAGAGAGGATTAACAAAGATTCCCCTTACCCTCAGGTTTGCGTGACACCCTCTCTCCGCCCTTCTCGGCATCTCGCCATTCCACGAAACTGAATAAATTAATGGATGAGTTTGGGGGGGAGCTTATCTTCTATCCACTCCCACCCAGGGCCGCCCAGAGGTTTCCAGGGGCCAATTATCCCCGATGCCCCACCCTCCCCTCTAGGCGGCTCTGCTCTTATCCTCCTTTTGGGGGCGGCCGCCTCCTGCCCTCGTGTTCGGGAACGTGGGAAACTTAATAGGAAACATTTCTGTTTCACTTTAAATTCCTTTTTCTGTTTTTAGGCAAAAGCAAGATTTTCTCTCCTGCAAAACGGGAACAGGAATTCCAAGGCGTGCCTTTGGCTGCATCCACGCGAGAATCTTCGGGCGTGACAGATAAGCGGTTAAGCAGGCAGGGTGTTCATCCCAACCAGTTATTAATTGGATCAAATAATTGACCGCAAGTCTGGCTGTTGTGGATGACCATTATGAAGCCTCTGAACACTTTTGGCTCTGTGGGACGCCGCAGCTGGAATCCGTGACCGGGGCCTCAGAAGAAAGGAAATTCTTTTCACCAGGATTGTCACTAGTAAGGGAAGGGGAAAGAAATCCATTCATCATTATCATTGCTGCCCATCCCCACTTAAGGGGGTCGCGGATGAAGCAGTCCGAGGAGCATCATCCAATGCTATCGATCCTGGAGAACAGGTTCGAACTCGGAAGATGGAATGCCGAACCTCGAGTGCCAAAGCCAAGTAATATATTCGTTATATCTTGTACGAAACCTACCGACTGGTCTACTGTCGATTATTTTGAACTGGGAAACTCTTCTCGGGAGTCAAGGGGCATGTGGCGGATGTGTCGGAACCACCAGGCCTGGGTTTCCTCGATCCGAAGAAGAACCTACTCGACCTTGTGTCTCTCACGGATGGCGGCACTCTGCATCTTGTTACGACGCGTGGCCCCGGTCACACGCCGCAAGAACCTCATCTAGGCAGCTTATAACCGTGACCTGATTCTTTCGGTCATTACGCACAGTTAATGATCAAAAGTTATGGTGGATAGGCAAGCACTCCTAAAAACCGAGTGTTTCGCCGCCTTGGAAATATCAATTTGGTAACCGCACTCTGCCTGAGTTCCCGCGTAACTGCGGAAGCCCTGGATATGCGAATGTCGATCTCGTTTCCGTATTCCCCGTCACTCGGGAACGGGAGCCCAAGGTAGTTACATTTGTCCATCTGTTCCACTGGAACCTCCCAGGGTTTTGCGGGCCCCGAGTTTCACTCCGACCGCAGTACACTCCTATTCGAATTGATCCAGCACGCTTTGAGACTCCTGTCCAGAGTGAGCCCAAAGGACGACATCATCGGCAAACGAGGATGTGTTTTTTCTCGAAACCAACGATATTGATACCCCCCCCCCAAAGGCCCAGGCTGCGTCTATATATCCTGTCCATGCACACGAAGAACAGGAAAGGAGAGAGAATGCAACCCTCTCGAACTCTGCGCTTTTTACCAGCACTGTGGTCTAAACCTGACCAGGTATGCTTTCCTTATCAGCAGAATGATTCCATGGTAATTGGTGCACGCACTCGAATCTCCTTTCTTAAAAAGAGGAACCACCACACTGCCAATGCGTGAGTGCCGTCTCCAATTCCCATGCGGTTTCACATACGCTATGCGACCACGAGCACTTATGGTACCCATTGCTTCCGGTGCCTCTTCACGGATTTCATCCACATCGGGCATTCCAGTCGCGATAGGCAAGGTAGCAACAGTTTAAAGAATTTCCTCCCTTGTGAGTCTACTCTCTTCTCAGGTAGGGTCTGACTCGGGTACATCTGAGTCCGCATGACTGGGTGTAAGAGCGACAAAAATGTTCCCGAAGAGAGTGTTATAGGCCTTGCTCTTCGGATGGTTGCCAGAATAAATCGAATGCAGTGATTCCATTTGCTCGTCAAATTTCTTCCACACCTCTTGTTTCCCTTCGGCTACAGCTCGAGCAGCAGCTTTTGGCGCCTCTATAACATTGTGCTACAAAAGGTGCCAAGAGGGGTCCGGCAACTAGACTTATACGCTAGATAGACTTCCTTCTTGGCAGCTTCAATCCCCCGTACCGTGGCGCTGGCAACCCTATCAGAGATAGGGTTCCAACAGCTCCTCAAGTCAGACCTGGAGATTCTTTCACACGTCAGTGCAAAAGAGGGTTGTTAGAAAAATTGACATTTTACGCAGAGACATCATTTTGTACTCTGCGAAGGGAGGAGGGGAGGCAACTGGGTTGGAAAAAGGCGAAGAGCTATGGATCGGTTGGAGGATTGACATTCCCCGTCCTCGTCCCCGCCATCCCCTAAACCGGCCAAAACTTACTCGCGAACTTGGATGAGTATTCGAACAGGAGTACTCATCAAAGAAAGAACGAGGGAACAGCCTGGACTTGCTGTTTTACAGCGTTTATTTTTTCCCCTCATCGAGTGAAACTGGGGGTCTCCCAGTCAAACTGGGGGAATAGGCAACGCTAACCTCTGATGTCCACCAAGAAGTCTGCATTGTGTAATCGTGTACCCCTACGATACGCTTTTCGTCACACACTCAGCTACAGCTGAGGCGCCAAATCGAAATGGATCCTATTCGCTCGCTATTAACCCCAAAGACCTTGCCAACTCGTCAGGAGTTTTTTCATCGCGGAGGGCTTCCTACCTCACTATTCGCGTGGCTTTCCGCCTCGTTCGCAGGTTCACCCCACATCTGGAGCTTGTGAACCGCTAGGTGATCGGTGCTCGGTTCGGTGCAGATCCCATCGTGAGACAGGGGCTTCTGTTGAGGGCGACCGAGACGAACCGAAACTGGATCGGAGGTAGCTCGTGATTATCGGGGCTGCAATCGTCATAGGGGGTCCTGGGAGACTATCGATAAGTCGGCTATGGTGCATTCGCTCGAATCGCGGGTTGGGAGAGATGAACAAAGGAACGCATTAACGTGTCAGGCTGCTCTGAGACAAAAGGGAACGCTGCATGATTAATGAGTGGAAAGAGGAAGAGAAAATCAGTGTCGGCGCGACTTTCCTCTCAACCCGTTACAAATACTTCCCAAAAGTCGAACAATTTAGTCGACTCCGCATATCGGAATACTCACGGGTCCAGCGAACTTTATTCTTCGATGCGGAGTATTCCAATAACCGAAACTATCTGCTTTATCGTAACGTAAATCGGGACCGTGCAATAGCATTCCATAATACGGAGTCGACTGTATCTCTTTTCATATACCCACCGGGGTTCTGTGATCAGGCTCCGATGCTAATCAGTTCAGCTGGTGTCCTTGTCTGGCCAGTGTTCAAGCCGAAGATATGGCGTTCCCGGTTCGATACCGGTAAGGGAAACGCTTCCTCAGCGGCTGATGGAGTTTCGCCTGTAAACTGCGATTCCTTGATCAGGCAAGGGAAAGCTCTTCTCAAAGAAGCTCAACAGAACAACATCGATTCGATGTTGATTCAACATCCGAGCGTTGAACCAACGTTGAATCAATGATGATTCAATGTTAGATGCTACTAGGGTTGTGATAAATGCATAGCGTGCGACTGACAAATCCGTGAAACCATTGATATGAATTTGAGTAATGCAAGAGGCACTTCTGAAGGAGAGGTCCAACAGGAAGAAAAGCATAATAGGAACAGGGAGGCAGACGGCTTTTTATCTCATCCCCCCCCCCCCCCCCACCTCCCCCTAAACAAAAAAAGGGGGCAGATAAGAGTCGCCCTTGCTTTCCAGGGTGGCCGTTTTGATTGACGCTTCCACTTCACACCGTCACACCCTCATTAGATACACATAGATCCGACAATCCGAAATTTGAGCGAATACACTTAACCATCCGTCAATCCGAACGAGAANTTTGCCCGGTCCCTAAAAGTTCGAGTTAACGAGTTTTCAC